TGGGTGACGATCGGTACCTACATGTATTGGTACTAGGAACAAATGGAACAATTTCTAGTGACTATATGGTTCGTATAACACTTGATGCTAGATTGGCCGATATTATTAGGTGCATTCTACAGAGCATCAAGATGGTAGGCGTGGGCGGAATCCGATGTGTGTTTCACTTGAACATTTTTGCCAGTGACCGAGGAACAGAAAAAAAAAACTGWSTTATAATTTTACAATAGTTGAGGTTTCCGGAAACTGATACATTATGAAGTGGGCTACTTCCAGATGAATGGTGTCTAGTATAAATGAAGTCYGGATGAAAAGAGAAGCAACGGTTGAATCTTATTTCACACGGATCGCCGATAAGACAAGTGTCAAATTAATGTTTTTACAGAATATAAGAACAATCTGAAACCTTACCTCTATATACTTATGTAGGATGTCGGAACTYGGTATCCTTTAGTTGTTTTGACTCCATCTATGATGGTATATAATATGACTTTATTGAATAGAAAAAAAGTATATACTGAATACATACTATACRTAATATATATTATATGTACTTAATCATACTACTATATTATTACTTAACTGTAAATAAGGTATACATACAGAAGAATAATTCAGTTTCATGACAATTTTATGACTTTAGTGTTAATTATTATTATATCGATATGACTACGATGAGATAATATTTGCAAACAATTATTATCCGAGTACCTACATAAATTTAATATAAATATTATATACTATACCTGATGTTATAATCGGGTATTGATTAATRTTAAATGTGTGGTCAATTTTAYTGAGTTTATGAAAAAAATATTATTAATATTATAGYAAGTTATCGTCTAAACTATACTACCTCGCTTCAATGTGATCATATAACTTGAATATTCGCGTTTTTCGATTCGGCGCAACGAATAGGTTGTTAACCTTTAACCGGAAACCGAACGTCGTCCAGCATTTTGTCCAAACATAACAATCACAATACATATTATTTTATAATTCACACACACACAACGTGTACGTAATACGTATACGACATTTAACTGGGTTTTCCGGGGAATGCTGCAATATCCGGTGGTCGTCAGCTTACCACATAAAATACATAATAGGTACGCTGGCTGGTCAGGATTTTCCAATAACGCGTCCACTGCAATTCCGTGGACATATCTCTCGGCAATTAATGTGCCCGCGAAATAATGAATCGTTTTCGGAAGTGGTCCCATCCATCAATTAAGGACGGGCATTTCCGCGGTCGGTGCTGTGGTATTCACGTGCCAACATATACCCACGCACAAAACGAACCCACCGTCATCTACCTGCACGGCTGCACAGTAGTGTTCTTTTCGATTGCGCAGTCGTTGAACAACTGCACTTATTTAATCATAACATCGTGTCTCACARCACCCTTACACATAGACGTGTGGGTTTTGTTATTCCACCATTCACGAGTGGTGACTATCGGCGTGTGTATGTAAACGAGTGTTCCGTTTACCATGTTGGAAGTCAAATGTATAARAAAATAAAAAACTGAAAGAGAGACAACATTATGTAAATACGTTTTATCGTACTCGTGTGTGCGTGTAACACGGGGGAAAAGCCTATTGCTATATAGATAAACGGGTCGAATGTTTGGGATGAAAAACGTACAGACGTAATATAATATTATTACCATATTATGGAACAGTGGCGGCCACCGACTATATAATAATATCGTATACGAACGAAACGATTCCTCTCTCTCTCTCTCTCGTACTATATATCTTGTCATTGTATGAATATAWCGTAGATATATACAATATATTCAGTGAGTGTGTGTGTGGGTATCTGCGTGTGTCTGTGTACGTTTGTGCGTTTGTGTGCAATTGCGACGATGTTCATCTGATTATAGTAAGATATTATTCCATTACTACGATTAAATCTCTTAAAGAAACGTGTTCGTTATAATATGACTGTGATAAACAAAATTCGTACAATTTAAGTGGTATTCTATGATATACGGTGATAAAATAACTATTATTTTTTTTTTT